AAAATCTTAAATTAGAACGTAGGAGTTAATATAATCAGAGAAATTCCTTAGTTCACTACTAAATATTTTGGAAAGAACGAAGGTAAAAAGTTCACGGGTTTTTGATTTGATATGATTACGGAAAACTTCCGGTACCATTTTGACAGACGCTAGAAGTGACATTACCTCTATAAACAATCACGATGGTTGGAAATCTACAACCGGCTGAAGGCTATGTATCAGATAGATTACAAAACAAAGTTACTGTCCACACGTATCCACAAGTATAATACTTTCGAATTTCGAAACGAAATGCCGTGTGTTCCATTAAATATAGAATCGGAAAATACTGAAGAATCAACTTGATCAACAGCATTCCAGTTATAAGAGGAGTATGAAAAGCAAAAAAAAAAAAAATGTGTTGACCAATTCGACAGCAACCTGTTATCAAGTATTTTATCGCTAAAAATCATCGTTCAAATTTAATTCCTTTAATGTGGGATTTGTGATGTAAAATGGAATGATGATGATAAATAATGGTGATTAAGGGATATTGATTTAGTTTTCTATTTCTTAGCCCCTCTTTCTACCATTGCTTCATCGTCCTTCAATCTATAATTCGTCTCATTGATATAAATTGACTGTTCCTTTGCCACTTTTGGTAAGAGCTGAATCTCGAATTCAAGGAAACGCAATAAACAAGTATAGATTACAGGAAGTAAAGAGAATTGAGAAACGTTCTCACTGTGGGAACCTTTGTGGAACACGTGGAGAATGCCAGCTAACGCAGTGGAGTCGAGTGCAAAGCGGTCAAAGCCGCAGCCGCAAAGGTCGCGACACACCCGCAGCAGACTCGATCGGCCTCGCATGTTATCACAATGAACTCGCAAGCAGTTCCCTGGAGCATGTTTCAGATACGATTCGTAGCGAGTGGGTCTTCACAGACACATTCCCGCACTGGAGATGGTCACAAAAATGCTCAGAACCTGTATTTCTGGTGGGGAACTGAATTAAGAGGCACGTTTCCTCGGATTACTACCTCCACTTATTCATTTAATCATTGTAGTTTCTTTGTATAGGTTAACCACCACATTCGCTATCCTTGAAATGAAATTAAGTTTCTTTGATAGAATTCAGCCGCTGCCTGGAGGAGAATTTTAGCTGACGGCTGCTCTGATCGATAGTTTTTCGTGGTTTCTCCAAACTACCTCACGCGAATTCCGAAGCAGTACAAAAGGGCCACGAACCGCGCGCGATATTTTCTTCCTCTTCCTTGCCCTATCGTCACCCACACACACTTACATGCACTACACTACCACACATGTCGAGAGAACAGTTTGGGGCTAAAACGTCTCCAGACTGGAGCGGTGCGCCGCTGGCGGGAGATAATTGGGTGAGGAAAATGCTTCAAACTATGGTATGGATCGGAACCCGATCTCGCCACCCAGCTGGGAAGATCACACGACCTCCCACGACAAAAAAGTATGCGCTACACTTACAGCACTAATGACTTTAAAAGTTGACGCACCCGGAATCTAATCAATCAATCAATATCAGACTACGACCTTATCTTTGCCATTTATTTTCCCATTGCAGTTCTGTTGCGTAATAATTGGTTAATTATAACATTCTCTATCCTTGATAATCACTGAAGCTTAGGTACAGGAAATCACGACAACAAAGGAGAGACACATTTAGGTATTTGCACGCCGCGAGGACCTTGGGGAACGCCTGCGGGGAGTTGGCGGCGGTGGCGGTGGCGGCGCTGCGCAAGCAATCAAAGCTCCTGCTGCGAAGGGCGCGTGAGGCGACGCACCGCGGCGCACCGACACGCAGGCTCGCGCTCGTTGCGGTTGCACGCACGCGACGAGACGCGAGCCGCAGCGTGTTCGACGCGCCGGCTTTAGCCGCGCACGACGCGGGGGCGGCGGCGGCGTCTGTGGCGGTGGTTGGCGGTGGTTGGCGGTGGTTGGTGGTGGCAGGTAGCGGCAGCGGCAGCGGCGGGGAGTACAGGCTCTGGTGACACCAGCAGCAGCAGCAGCAGCAGTAGCAGCAATGCGACAGCGCGGCTACCAGAGTTCCGAGTTCTCCGCTCTTGGAACGACAGTGGATTTGGACAACATGCTGTAAAGCGGGAATAATAGAAAGGGCTGGGTGTGAAAAACGGCAAACATTCTCTGGGACGTATGGGATGGATTTATAATCTGCGTACGTTTTATTGAGCTCTAGAATCTCTACCCCACAATTTTACCATACGTAGTTCAATGAAGACGACAATAAATACAACAACGGGTAGTCAGCACCATTTGAAAACTAGAAATGTTCGATTCTGAGTAATAAAGATCTTATTAGCATCAATAAACGACATACAGTTTTGATTTTTGTAGCATTGCTAAGAAAATAACCACAACCCTTACCACAATTAGCAAAAGAAAACGAGCGCGTAGTGAAGTTACAAGAATATATATGTCATCATCATCATCATCATCATCATCATCAGCAACAAGGTTTGGGCCTAGTGGCCCGTTCCGCTCTAGAATATAGTATATGTTCACAAGAGAAAAGAAGGAGCCACCCCAGAATTTACTTAATGAATGGAGAAGAACAACAAAAATCTGATCTATCTGTGGGGGGGGAGGGAAAATACTATTAAACCAAAAATGCCATAATTATGGTTCAACTTTAATACTTCCTTGCCAATAGCGGTTTTCACAAATATAGGAGACAAGAGCGGAGTGAACATAGCTTCGTGACGTTTCATTAAGTCTACAAAGACACGTCATGTCTACACAGGCGTGCGCTAACTGAAACAAGATGGGACCATATCTATTTTTGGGTTTCCTTTCACTCAAAAAATTTGAAGTTATATGACTTTTTCTTTGCACTGTAAATTTCAGTATATTAAAAAAATTAAATACATATTGGATTATTATAAGGTGAATCGACAGAAACTTGTGTTCGCTTCACACATTTTCGTCACTTTAAGCAGTTTTGTGCTGGGATTTTTGGCGACTTTTTAGGAGTTTTTGCGTGGGGTCGAAATTCATCATAGCAAATTTGAAAATTACATTTTTTTATTTTCTATTAATCTTATTTATCGTGGATATACCTTATTTATTAAAATAATATATTTCATTACGTAAGACTACCGGCCACTTTGAAGTTTTTCCTGGATCTGCCTGTCGCCTCCCCCCCCCCCACCTGCTTGCAAATTAAAAGGAACGCAGAACTCGGAACTTCACAAGATCAGGCAGTGAATTCCGTCACGCATGGGTGTTCGTAAAGCCAAAAGAAGAGAAAAACACTATGAGGTCAAGTGTGTGAAGTGAGAATGAAAGCTCTTATGTACTATAATTAAAAGTCATTGAGTTGTTGGCATGCATATGTCTGCCTTACAATTGCGATACGTTTTAATAAACCAAAACGTAGAATAAAACTTGTGTGAAGCAGTTACAAGTGCAAATATACTGCAAAATGTCAAATTAAATTGCATGAAATGAAAACATATATTTTAATGTGTATTAAGAAATATTATGTGTGTTTAAATAAGATAAAATGTTTATAAAACATTTTATTTACGTATTCAAAGAAATATGTGCAAATATACTTACATTCTCATGCATTTTTCTACTATACCAGCAAGTATAATGAAATTATAATATACTAATGCTGAATGAGGCAAAAAAATATCACTTGATTAATACACATGTTAGACGTCTATATACAACTTTTGAAATATCTGACAAATTTATCATATTTATCGCAATACGACGTACAAATTTTATTTTTATATTCCTTCTTTTATCGGAAAACACCTTTGTAGAAAACATATTGAAAAGAACATATTAAAATATCCATATTATAAAATACATATTGTACAAACGAAAATAAGCGTGAGATAAATGTAGTGAAAAAGCGATATAAAGGAACGAAGAAGATGAAGACAAATATCAGAATAAATAGAAAAAAGTACAGTAAAATTATTTAACTTATCTCAATACAATGTTACGAAGTGACGTATCACTGAGCAAGAAAGCACCAGGTATCAACTATATCAATTATAAACTTTAATCATCGCCATGAAACATCTACAGGGAACTGACAACAGACGTGATACGCCTGAGAAACGATCTCAAACGGCACTTCCGCCAATAAATAATAATAATAATAATAATAATAATAATAATAATAATAATAATAATAATAATAATAATACAAAGACGTGAGATTCAAGTGGAAAGGGTCAAAATTCTAGCAGTCAGTTCACAGTTGTCACAAATTTTTGTAGGTATATGTTCCTAGAAAAAGAACTTCTAAAGCAGTAAATTATATTTTTATACAAAACTTCCGCGGGCCTGTGTAAGCGTCGATCACTCACGTCGACCTATCCCTCTCTGAACGTTCTCTATCAAAGCAGCTGCGTCAGCGAATTACACCGCGGATGGGCCGCAGTTGCCAATTGAGCCACATTTGAATTTTTTCTCCAATTTTATATGCACTGCATCATTCATTACTACAACATTCATTAAATGCACTGTCACCATTTGTCCTTCTTTTAACCTTAATTTTATCAATTTACATGGCCAGGGAAATTCGTTTCAATGAAATGGGATTTCCGATCCCTTAGCGCAAAACAAATTACGGCAATACATTATTCTAATATAGTGTCCTCTCATAAAAAATAACAAAAATGTGATGCGATTTCACTTTAAAAAAGTATCAGATGACGAACAAATGCGTTAAATGAAAATTTGTCAGTAAACCTAAAATATAAAGCGTAGATTCATTTCCATATCAATTTTACAATTTCAAACGATTTTGTACAATAAACAAATTACATTTTTCTTATATTTTTGTTTGTTTAAATAACAAACACGAGTACTCGTAGAAGAGAACAAAATCACAGCAGATAATTTTATATAAAATAATTTATTAAACATGTACAAACGGAAATGATTATCTTCGGCGATAGACACACAGAGTGCGATCCAAATTCAGGCGATTATTCACTCGGGAGTCTGGGAGCCCATCGCCCACACGGTTTGGGAAGCGTTTTCGATAGCGTTACGCAGCTCGGAGAACACGCCGGTGTACCAGCTGGCCACCCAAATGAGAAACAGCAGCACGAAGAAGTTGCCGATGCTGTTTAGAGAGTCAGCCCCGCCGTGCAGCGTCAACAGCCTTAAGACGATCGTTCCCAGGTACAAAAAGACCGCGCAGCCTGAAAAGACCGCAACCGAATTAATAATTAATCTAAACGCGACGTTTGACTTTCTTCCATAGTTCACCTCTCCTCTATAGTCCCTCTAGCTCCTGTATAGTCCCCTGAAGTTTCTCTATAGTCTATTGTCATGCGCACTACGTTTGCCAGATGTATCTTTCAAAAATAGCATTGTTTTCGAATCATTGTTGACAATAATCAATGTGAACTATTCTGGTGGCTAAAAAGCACACTTATGCAATCAACTCTGCACGACTTCAAAATTGGCGAATGCTGTGAATACGGGTCGGTGCAGCAAAAAATGTAAAGAATACTGTATTTTGTGGAGACGACATTATTCTTCGCAAATGTGGAAGATGTCGAAGGGTCCACTACAAAAGAAAATGTTGGTAAAATCTACATGTATTTTGAACGCCGCGTATAATGTGTAATTAATTTTGTAATTCAGTTGATAGGGAGAAAGCACAGTTTTTAAACACAATTAAATCCATTTATATTCAATCCCAATTGATCTCACCCAATCCAAATTCACACAAAAATATGGATTACAACCTATCATTAATATTATTATTTTCAACAGAGCTGTTTGGTAGAAGTCTATGTCTCTATTTATTGTGTCCATTGCTCTAGTGAGTACGTCGGAGGATGTCAGTAATGTTTCTTGCTATGATTGGGCATCTGCTTAACCTAGCAACATGGGTTTTAAGTCGGTGACGTACCACACGCACCACCAGCAGTGGAGCACCTCTACCCACCAGAACATAACATACACAATCCTTGCGGGACTTCTGAGCTAAGTAGTTGACGCGCACGGGATCAAAAACTCAAGACACTCACTCACATCGCCAATTTCTCTCCGCAGTCCACCCCAACCCAATCAAACCTCACCGAGGCACGGTTTTTGACACTACCTAGTTAGGTCGAATTTAGCCACTGCCTGGAGAAGAATTCTGGCTGGTTGCGTAGGCTTCCGCGGCTGGAGTATATGTTGTCTAGGCTATCCGGGACGAGCCGCGTCACTGTCATGGTGGCTAACGTTTCGGCCAGCGTATTGTGGGCTTCTTCTTGGGCAGTACGCTCTGAAGAAGCCCACAATACGCTGGCCAAAACATTAGCCACCATGACAGTGACGCGGCACGTCCCGGATAGTCTAGACAACAAGAATTCTGGCTACCGGCAGCTGAGTTGGGTAGAATCCCGTGTTTTTTTCGGCCAAAACAAGGCAAAAGCCGGAGTTATACCTTAAGAAACGGATCGCTGATCTTTCCTTCTTCTTTCTTAGTGTATCCCCTCCCCTTGTTTACACGCACTTCACTACCACACATGTCGGGTTGACAAGCCGGGAGCTTAGAGCAAGGTTCGGTTTGGGCGGAGCCCACAAAGTGAGAGATACCTGGATGGGAAAACATCGCAAGCTGACGTTTAGGAACGTACCAGATCTCACCATTTAGCGGAATCAGAGCCACCTCCCGTGATAAAAGCAAGCCCAACTCACACGAGACTAACGAACGTGGCAGCGGCGGCGCGCGAAAACGCGAAATACTCCATCGCCGTACCGAGCAGCAGGATGGGCGCGCGGAAGAAAGCGCTGGCGCCGGCCTTGGCCGCGTTGCGCCGCTCGTACGCCTGCAGCTGCGCGTCCAGCTCGGCGGCGAGGCGCGCGCGGTACTCGGCGCAGAAGTCGGGCCCGCCCAGCTTGCGGCGTGCGTCGAAGGCGCGCAGGCCCGCGGCGCGGGCGGCGCTGTGGCGGCGGCGCAGGCCGTCGCTCGTCAGCGGCCGCTGCGGCGACGCAGCCGCCAGCGCCGCGTCCATCTCGCGAGCGTACGACGCGCGCCCGGCCGCCGACGCCGCCAGGTTGTTGGCCTCCGCCGTCGCCAGGTACAGCGTCTTGGGCTCGGGCAGCTCGCGGCCCTGGTACACGCGCGCGTACGCCTGCGGGAGCGCGACCGCGCGCGCTGCGTTGGCGGGCAAGGCTCTGGCCGGACTGCGAACGCAAGCGGTGTGAGCGTACAGGTCTTACACACGGAGATAACGACCGTCAAGGGATGACTTGCCTGTCTTGGCGAACGAAAAATGTCCTTGCTTCTGGTTATGCGACCGTACATAGTGAATGCAAGCGGTACGGGATTTAGGTCCGCACATATAACGCTTACGACCTTCAAGGCGTGTAATGTCTCACGAAACGTACAGATACAGTCCTCTACAGCTCAGGTTCGGACGGTTCGCCGCGCGCATCTAGGCGGACGTTAACTGCCCGTGATTCTGGTTATGCGACCGTACATAGTGAATGCAAGCGGTACGGGATTTAGGTTCGCACATTTAACGCTTACGACCTTCAAGGTGTGTAATGTCTCACCAAACGTACAGGTACAGTCCTCTACAGCTCAGGTTCGGACAGCTCGCCGCGCGCACATATGCGTGCGGGAGATGCCGCGCTCGCACGCGCTCTGCGTTCGCTATGTGCGATCAGGGTTAGCCGGACCGGTTAGCAAATGTACGCGTTTGGGCGTACATTTATATACATTACACCAGTAGAAAATGATCTTCAATGAATGGCTTGCCTCTCTCGGCGTACATAAACTGTGCGTTCTCCTTTTTGTACAATTATAGATAGAATAATATAGATAGTAAATGCAAGCAGTAAAGGGGTACAGGGCAACACACATTTGACCCTATGAAAATGCCCTTCAATGCGTTAAATGTCTCGTGAGTTCAAGAACAGTCGTACCTATCTCAGGATTGGACAGCTCGCGGACTTTGTACTAACGCGCGTACGCTTGCGGGAGACGCGGAGCTCACGCGGTGTCTGCTACGTGCGGGTCGAACTGCGAATGCAATTGGTGTAGGCTTACGGGGGGTGTATGTATTCAACACATATAAATCGACAAAGGATGGCTTTTATGTTTTGGCATACACCTGTTCCTCTTTCATTGTTCTGCGATCGCAGAAAGCAATTGCAAGCAGTCTGAGCGTACATAACTATGCATTTACCGCTTAGAAAACGACCGAGTCGTGAATTGTCTTTCGAGAGGATAAATAGTACTTTCTTTGTTCTGCAATCGTATTAATTTCTCCAGACATATTAATGAATAAAATAAAAAATAAAAACGTTTGACGTTATGCGTGACCTATGAGTCTAGCGCATAGTAACCACCAAAACTACATTTGTGCAAGTATATTGGAAGACAGAGGGAAAGTTGTCGGCTCAAAAAATAAAATCTATAAAAAATCACTGATGAGCCTTTCAGCTCTCCCCACTTCGTAATGCGAGAGTTCATTATCAAAATGCAAACAAAAATTACCATATTTTTCTTTCGATTCGTAGTAACAAGCTACGACCAGGTACAGCACCTTCATGTACTCGAAGAGGTCCCGGCACTTGACCACGGAGCCGCCGATCTTCTTGACGACGAGGTTCTCCGGCGCCAGCACGCTCTCTGTGAAGTCCAGGAGGTGCTGCTTAAAGTCCTCCTCCATGAGCGAGTGGCGGCCGTCGTACTGCGCACTCGTCGTCACCTGACGGGTGCAACATAACCTCCATCATTGCGCCAGTGCGATGACGATGAGACGTCATCACTTCTGCCTTCGTGACTTCTGTTGAAAGAATTTTCGCCACGAAACGCAATTGCGAGTTGTGACTGCTTAGGTAATTTTCAATGCACGATACATGATAGGTTGCGCAACGAACACTCGTAATATAATGTTTTGATTTCTACTACGATGTCCAGATGTTCATTTGAAGCACAAGTGCCTTCATTTATCCATTTCATAAGAACACAAATTCTTCTATGAATATATTCGTGTACACTGGTGTTTAAGAATAGATAGTTTCTGTCTTAAAAATATATTGCTGAAGTAATGATAGTAAACAACGATGAAAAATATAAATTACCTTGAGATCATCTGTACTATTTGAATGATAACCAACTCAAATATAATTTAACTCCTTTAATATATGTGTAAATTTTCTGTCTCAAACATCATAACCCTTCAGAATAATTTTTATATATTAAATTGACTGTGATTTTACTTATAGATCTTATCACCTTACGTTATCTTTGAGTGACATCCGACAAACAACCCAGAAAAACTCTGTATTCAGTTTGTTTCTGATTGAGAGAAGGACCATTATATACGCTATCCAGTTTTCGTTTGTTTTTCACAAATGAAACCGTTAAGGTATGTTCACTAACATGTTATAACTTCGCAATTTTCCTGTTATTTTATACGGCCTTCTCATTGTTAAAAAGGACTTGGGACAAATGTTCTACAGAAGAGGGAGGCATATACAGTCATAAAAAAACAGACAGCTACCGCTGAACGCACGCAGCTCGTTTCCTTTCATACGTGAGTTTGAAGACAAACGAAATAAAAATGTAAATTATATTGATATCACTTGTCTCTTCGTCACCGCGTTGAAGGGTCAAGAAACTATTTGTCACCAGCAATGCATCAATTTAAGAGATCATTTTCAAAGTGACATATCTCCAAGCAACTCAATTCTTCAGTGAGGAAAAGTATTCACATTCAGACTTTTATTTCAAGGGAGTATTCAAACGTATTCGGATCCCGTTTAACATAGGATAAACGCAAAACTTCACAACAACATTTGGTAGCCTAATGGAGAATCGTCCTAAGAATACAGATATACGTAAAACAAAAAAAACAAAACTTCCTCCTCACGCCTCCACCAGCACCCATGCGTCTTATTACCCTTCGCCTGCACCCCAACCCTCTTCCCAACCCCACCCGCTGCCGACCGACGATCTGTTCTTAAACAACACACGCTCCCTAAAAACTGAAAAACTTCGTTTTCGGCCCGGAAGCTGCAAAGTATGTACTATCCAGTTTGCTTACGCATGAAATGTCTATATTTGTATATAATATTTTGTACTAACTTAAACCTTTTTTTTAAAAATATGTATTAATATAATTGTATTTCGATCATTCCAATTTTAACTCTGAAGATGATCGCTACGCGATCGAAACGATCATTAGCAAAATAAATTTTTGATACCAGATATTTTTAATATACCACATTTTTTTTTAAAAAAAAAGAGGGGGGAAAACGAAATGGAGATGCTTCACTTGCACGTGAAACGAGAGTAAGTTCGCATTACCGCCATGCCCGGGTGCGGCATGAGGAAGCAGCGGATGCGCTGGAAGGTGCGCTGCAGGCCCTGGCGCACGTGCACCAGCTGCGGGTGCTTGCTGTCCGTGGCCAGCAGCCGCTTGCGCAGCACCTGCTCGCCGCCCTCGTAGCCGAACGCGCACTCGTACGGGTACGGCCAGTCGCGGATCTGCCGGCGGGTGGCGGGCGGCCGCGCGTAAGGCTAGCGCTCGCTTGCGCACATACTCAAAATACAGAAAAACAAACAACAATGACAACGGTGGTTCCTTGGGACTTGTTAATGGTGTAGCGATATTTTTTTTGTTAGATTTTCATGTATCAACACCCTTTTTTAGCGAGTATACCAGTCACGTTTTCGTGCCTTGCAAATTGAATGTCAAAGTGAAAACATGTCTCGCGACTCAATTCCATATCCAGACTAATGGAAAAACAGCGCTTTCGATTCAAAATTGACTCTTGATAAACACATGTTGTCTTACATTTGGACAAACTAGATATAACTCACATTGGTAGAAAAACGTCCGAGAGAATTTTATTCTTTCATAATATGAGTATATCTATGGGGAAAATATAAGTTAATGGTAAATTTAACCAAGCACGAATAAAATTATTTGTGTACCTTATTTCCATGAAACACGAACGACACACGAAAAGAAAATCATTCAATAGTGCTAGAAAACGATTCTTTCAAAATGGTGCAAATAACTCGATCAACAAAGGGTTTGGCTTCACGAGTACTGCAGAGATGAAGTAAAAATTTCTGAATGTAGAATCATTCACGTGTTTTCTACTCCCATTGTATAATTCTCTCATTCGATGGCTGCAACTAGTTGCATAACGACACTCATTATGATACAGGTTCTTCACCAACCACAGAGAAATTTACAAACCAAGTATTGACAATTAATCATGAGAATCTTTCAAGAAATTGTTTCGTTCGATTTGTACATTAAAATTGCATTTATATTATATTCTACTTGTCAGTTTTAATTTTTTTGATTAGTAGTATTTTTCGTGCAATATCATTTAATATAAATTGGATCGTAATTTCACTTTGATCCTATTTGACTAGCACAGTACTCCCTCGCTGGCGGACTAGTAACCAAAGATACCTACGGCAGGTTAGGGTAAGGTTAGGGAGGTGCCCGCTAGGTGGCTTTGGCTGAATCCGGCATGTCAACTGCCACGAAATGATTCAATGTAAAAGTTTAACTAATAAACATTACTGCAAGTCATACAAAAAGTATCGTATGAAACTCGATGTAATGGGTATTAATACTCTTGGGTGAAGTGTACGATATTCGTGTATTAATACCTATTACGACAACATCATTTCATAATGTTATTTTAGAAGACACTGTTTTGCAAGACATGAAGCACAATACGGTATTCTTGAACTCAGTGCAACATATATCTGATGTAAGAAGCAATGCTCTCGCTAACACTGGACTATTCCTACTGAACACCATCAACTGATGTCACAGTAGTGCCTCTGACCGGTATGTCTTCTATTTCGAGTCCCGATGGTGGCAGGATTTTCGACTCTAGCTTGTCAGCTAGGTCGAACTCAGACGCAGTCTCGAAGAGAATACCAACGACCGGCTGCTCTCAGCGGTATTTTCTCCGTGGTTTCTCTGATCATTCCAGGCGAATACTGGAGCACAACTCTAACCCCTGGGTCATGGATCTTGCGCGGCATTCTTACCTTCCCCCTCCTTGTCCTGTCCTCTACCCTTACACACACTCATTACTTAGACTACACATCCACGTCGGGTCGGCAGTCTGGAGCTATGACCTTGTCCCGGCTGGTGAGATATTTCTGGATGGATAAAATCTCGCAAGCCTACGGGTATGTCGGTGCCGGTTCTCACCATCCAGCGGGGACGAACACTGTCTCCTCCCGCGATAAAAAAACATTTACGGAACTAATGACCGTACCAGTTGAAACCCGAAATATTCAATCAACCAACTCAAATGAACCCTGCCCTCCCAACAAGCCGTGGCACTGGACCCTGGCCGACGCCCTACCAGGAAGATGAGGTGCTGGAAGGGCCGGTCCGCGGTCTCGTCGAGCGCCAGCCGGCCGTACTCCGTGAAGAACTGCAGGTGCTGCAGGTCGTCCTCCTGCAGGTTGTGCATGAGGTTGTAGACGAGCACGGAGCTGACCATGGTGGAGAGCGCGAACACCGTGCTGCAGTCCTTCATGGTGCTGTGCGAGTCGAAGGTGCCTGCGCTCGACGCGCAGCGAACCACATCAACGCGCTTTGGAGGCCCGCACGCTCTAGGACGCGGACGTTTCATTACGGTATTAATGAAACTCAGTACGAAGGGAATTATAATAATTTAGTTTTAATTTATTTCCAATTGTTAATGTTATTTTTTTATAAATATTATGGTGTTACACATCGAAAGTCTTAAGAAACGACCCAGCACATGAGCAGGATGTGTTTGTAAAATAAATAAATAAACGTGGGTGTGTGTAGAGTGATTCCGTGATGGACAGAATTTCTCTTCGGACTGAAATTCTGTCCATAACTGAAATTCCCACATGGACGTTAAATGAAACTACGCACTAATCACTATAGCGAAATTAGTCTCAGGTGGTCACTCATGTTTTTGGATAAACGTCCGTTACATGATGTGGCGACTGAAAGAATGTATTCTATTTTCTAGCTCAATACATGCCTCTAACGGACGCATATTAATGTGTCCGGTTACGCGATATTGCTGATTCAACAGCTTTTACGGAATTCTAAACAAATACTTGAGTGTAGCCATGGTACAATTGAGAACTTGAATGATTCGGCCAAATTGAACCATCCAAAGTGTTCATACTCAAATTTGTTTCGTTATTTTACGCAAGAAAAAACTTGTGGAAGATCTCTGATTCAATTCTCTTAAATTATGACAATACATGTCAGAAAAAATTGATACAATCTGCTGCTGATAATTTGTGTGAAACATGATCCTAAACTCTGGAAAGTAATTCAAATGTGAAACTTCTTTTTGAAACATATCTGTCAAGCCGTATCCAACACAACATATAGAAAGCAGTTTCGGTCTTTTTAAAGCTGTTTGCTTCGAAACAAAGTTTTAAAAAGGAATGATCGGTGCACTGGAATGCAGTGTTCGATTACTACCGATCAGTGACCGAATTAGTCAGACGCAGGCGCCAGATCTTTGCTTCGGTCGAAGACCGATTAACTGTTTTCGTACTCCGACTATTCATGCAAAATATCCTGACGAGATGCGGCTTAGAATGCCTTATCTTCGACTCCCTGCTTTATTTTCCTCTCTAACACTCACTTCGTTCCCTCCCGCCCACCCCGCTCCTGTCGCTCACCTCTATTCTTGTTCTTTTCCCCAGACCTCGGTAGCAGGACAAAGATAGTTTATGTTCAATTTTCTCTTTTCCCTGGACCCACATTCCACTTATGTTTTATTATCTTTGCTATCACAGGCGTAAGTTCATGGAGAGGGAAAAGAGGGATATTTCACCCCAAAATTTTTTTCAGTAACTATTAATTCTAACTTGTCACGAGACTTTCAAGCAAAATTAGTTTCGGATTATCATTAAAACGAATAAAAACGCATAGCTGCATGAGCTGAATGTAGCTTGGGGCGTTGGACAAAATCTGTAATAAGATATATTCGACGAAAACATTTTGAATTTTCCCTCCCAATATTCGTCTCTAGATCCGGTCTTGCCCATCATCATCGGCAACAGTAGCATCCATCCATTAACTACCCGCTGAAGCAATCAGGTGCCCAGATGCGGGCTCTCTTTCCCGAGCAGCGTGCCCACGACATCGCAAGCCCACGCCATCCATGAACTACCCGCTGAAGCAATCAGGCGCTGAGAAACGGGCTCTCTTTCCCGACCAGCGTGCCCACGACACCGTAAGCCCACCGACTGGCAACCGAGCGAGGGCGAAGGCGGCCGTGTCGCACCTTGCGTGTCGAGCAGCAGTACGGCGACCTGCTCCCCTCCGGGCGCGGCGCGCAGGAACGGGCGCGACCACAGCACGAGGCCCGTGGTGGCCAGCTCGGCGCCCCCGCGCCACTCAAAGCCCTCGGCCAGCGGCTGCTCCGCGTCGCCCAGCCACTCCACGCCCGCGCCCGCACGCGAACTCGAGCCCGAGCCGGCGCCGGCGCTCTCCCACGCGCGAAGGTAGCGCAGCATGTAGCTCAGCAGGAACGACTTGCCTGCGCAGCACACCCGCCCACCCGCGACGCTCAGCACACGCCGGCAGTGCCCAAAGGAGCGCTTCGGACGCGATTCAGCGATTTAATCGGTTGTGCCAAAACGACTTCATGAGCAATCACTGTTACCGGCTGACGTTAGATCAGAGACAGCATTGCCGCTTTCACTCTTCCGTCAGAAGAACCTAGGGTTGGAGTGCCGACTCAGGGAGAGTGTCGATTCTATCTGCATAACTAGGTCAAATTCAGATGCTGCCTGCAGAAGTATTAAAGCTGGTAACTGCATAGATATGTAGTTTTCTTATCAAAACCAGGCGAATGCTGGAGCAGTTTTCTAACAATGCGAACGACCTTTCCTTGTCATATCGACCTTCAACCCTTATTTACTACATACACTTTTATGCACTACAGAACTACACATGTCGGGAGCACAGAACTTTTCTAGGCTGGGGCGCTGCTCTGTTGGGAGGTATACTTGCAGATGTCCTCTCCAAGCCGACAAGTTGGAAATTTATATTATCATCTAACGGGGAAGAAACACCGCTGCATCCAAGGATAAAACATTCACAACATTAACGGGATTAATGACTACAACAGTTGTTCTCAGAAACAACAATCCATCAGTCAACGAATTGTCTGCGCATATCGCCCGTTTGCTCCGCTCAATTCGCACTGGCAATGTGCGAAACAACGTTTTGAACCTCCTTCAGCGATTCAGACGGTTATGCCAAAATGGGGGTTCTCTAATCGCTGTCCGACATTTGCACGTTATTCATCAATTTTTACACCTTAGAAGAACTAGTCTTCTGGAACAGAGAACTATATCTTCCTAGATTATGTTAACGAACATCTTTTCGGTAGCGTTTTCACATGCAACAAAGCTAAAAGCATATTCCGAATCAAATAATGAGCTTAACACATTTTCTCAAAACTGGGAATGTCATATTTTCTAAAGAGAGGGGTTTGTTATATAGGCTTTGAATATCTCCGATAACACTACAAAAAACGTAAGTCCTGTTTAGCAGAGAGAAAGATATTAGGACTGTGCTGATTAACCCGTAATTAAGTGTACTGTAAGGAATTTTTGTTTTCAAACAACCTATGCCCAAAATCTATGACCCTGCTGAAGAAATGGCAGAGCGGATCCATGTATTTTATTTCACGCAGATTTTACTTGTTATTGGCAGTGCCCTGTACCCGTTTTGTCAACTGCTGAACACTTTTCAGACTTTATAAACATATTCTATTTATTAATTTATCAATTACTTCATCAAGTTATTGGAAACGTGTACACAATGATATCTGGGCATGGATGACGACATGCCAAGAGTTCTTCTGGGTAAAATATTTTATTACTCACGCTCGAATGACCAGAATGAGTGTTTTATCTTTCTTCCTTTTAGGTTTCGGTAAGTGATGTGTTCCAACGATAGGTATATTTCAATTTCTTTTGGCACAATTATAGGTCGCGTCGCTTTTCTGGAATACTGCTGCAATAAAAAAATGTTTTGGTAAAGAAAAATGTAATTTTCCAACAAATTCATTTGTTTCCCATTAATCCAGGATCAGTACTTCTATTTTCTTGCAAATTATGTCAAAAATTACTTATTTCTTTTTGTTTGTTAATTCAATACAAATTGTTTTTTAAACTCTGAACTTTTGGGTAACTTTGGAAAAATATTAAGATCTTCTGAGTTACAATTCTCTGCCGCAAACACTCCTAGAAATTTGAATGCAAGAGTAGTAGTCATTTGGGGAACTCAACTCGAAATACAGCGGTGTTCGTAAAATGTTACTCACAAACATAACGCTCAAACACAAATACTGAAAAAATTGCGACTTATCGCTTCTGCGGTTCGACGATGCCTTTGTAGTTGCAGCATTAATTCTTAAAAGAATCTATGGATCTCTGATCGTGATATAACGATACATCCGACACCTAGCAGGAATTGGCATATTTTAGGAGGTACAGACTTATCTCGTATAAATAGTATTTTATTGGACCTTTTCACTTTAAAAATCCAGATTACAGTAGCATTGTTCGAGAAAAGCGACGGTGTCCTCGCATAACGCGTCTCGCCTTTGCGGTAGGAGCCGACGACGGCGACGAGGACGACGGGGCGGTCGCGCACGTCCTCGCGCAGCAGCACGCGCGCCAGCACGTCCTCGCGCAGCTCGAGGCGGTGGTCGTCGTCGAAGCGCGCGACGCGCACGGGCCGCCCGGCCTCCAGCGGGCGCGAGTGCGCGCGCGATGACCAGCGCCGCGCCGCCGACCGCTCCGCGCCGCTCCCGCTGCGCGCTGCGGCGTCGGAGGCTCTTGCACCGCAGCCGCTCCCGTGCGGCTGCCGCTGCTGCGCCGGTGGTCTTGCTGCCGCCGTCTCCCGCGCTTCTGCGCGCGCACTACGCTAAACCGCGACGGCCGTCTGATCCGTCCTTTCCATCGGCCATCGGCCCCTTCTCGGGCGCCCCTCATGCCCGCTGCTCCACCTCTCTCCTCCTCCTCCCCCACCCCCAACGCAACCACCCACCGCCACGCCGCCGCCGCCGTCGGCCACCTTTACTCCTTACCCTTCTCGCCCTCCCAGCGTCAGATCCGTCTTACTAGAAATGTCATCACTTGAACCGCGTCTCCTCCTCTTTTTACTACCTCTTGCGTGACCGTAGACCATCGTCCTACTCTGCACACCTCACTACCGCCACGACCATCCTCCACCCTCCCCTCCTCACCCCGCGCGCACCAAACCTTACCCTCCTTTACCACCTCTCCGGCCTTCACTGTCAGAACACCGTCCTTACTGGAAATGTTCTGCACTCAGCCACATGGAACCTCCAGCCGCCAACTGAATAGATAAGAAAATGAAACACCTTTTCCCTCCTGCCATGCCTTTCCCCCTCCCTCGCACCTCCATCCGACCCGTCCTTACCAAGCACCAAACCTCCACTCCACCCACCACCTCTCTAGCTCCACCGCCGCTGCCCCCGCCTTTAACCTCCTTTCCCCCCTCCGCCTACCGCCACCCATCGACCCATCCTTACCAGTCCCACCTCCACACCCACCCCCTGTACCCCAGCTCCACCGGCCGCTGCCCACGCCTTTTACCTCCTTTCCCCCCTCCGCTGACCGCCACCTCTCCGCACCATCCTTAACCAGCCCCACCTCATCCCACCATCGAACCCTCAGTCCCCCTCCGCTGCCCCCCGCTTTCCTCCTTCCACGCCCACTCTCGTCGCCCCGTCCTTCCGCGCACGTCCTCCACGCCACCCTTCCCTCCTCCGCCGCCAGCGCCCGCGTCCTCCTCAGCGGCCTCCTTGCTCCTCCGCTGTTGGCTGCGCCTGTGGCTCCTCCTGCGCTGCTCGTCGGCGTCGCTGGGCCTGTCGTCGTCGTCCGCGGAGGCGGCGGCCGTGCTCTCGCGTTTCCTCCTGCCCGCGCTGCCGTCGCGCGCGGCCTCGCCGCTCTTGCGCCGGCTGCTGCTGCCGCCGCCGCCGGCGCTGCGCCGGGCGGCGGCGTTCTTGCGGCTGATCTCGCTCAGCTCGTCCGCGGCGTCCATGGCCTCGTGGCTGCTGGCGCACGCGCCCCGGCAGCTGCGGAAGCTGCCTTCCTCCCGCTCGTCGCCCTCGAGGGCGCGCGCGATGGCGCCGCCGCGCAGGCGTCCCACGCGGCCCCGTTCGGCCTCCGCGCCGCCCGCTCGCCGCGCGCGACGAGCGTCCACGCCAGCGGAGGCTTCCATCTCGGCGCTTGAACCTGCGTCACCAGCGTTCGCAACCATTGTGCAGAAATTGACTTATTGAGTGATTGAAAATTGTCTTATGGAATGGAAACTATCAATTTTCCAACAGTTATCCTACAATTTAGTGCGGTACAGGATACTATTTTTTTTTGTTGAAATTCCAACACTATCCTTTCTTTATTAGCTGATACTCTTATTCTCTAACTGGGCAACATTTTGTGTAATAGTTAATTTGTCTCCTACATTGGGTAACGGGGTTTAAAATCTGGACGATGCATCTGGACATGAACCATATCTTGAGGGGCTCTTGTCTTCATCAAATTATAGTGCAACATAATTATATTGCAAGACTGAAAATTTGTGATGAAAGTTTGTAATAATAAAATATACCATAACTTTTCCAATTAAAAACAAACCAAAAGAATAAAATATGTGTTATATAGAGAAATAAGATTCAAAAATGAGCTATTATTACTACGTGAGAAACCTACTACATAATTCAAGACTCTGTAGGTCTGTTTGTGTCTGTGACTGTGTATAATATAGCACCTTCTCGAAAATAACGCGAACCGTTCTTTAGATTCGCGTAAAAAGAATATTTCATATCTGTAATTTTCCTACAAAAGGAAATATCCCGAAAGCATTATTGTACATAAATTAAAAAAATATCATACAAAATTATAATTATCCTACGGGGCAGCAATACTGTGCGCCACCCTCCGCAAATCATTAGGTTTTGGCATAGCGAAGCGTTATAGCAATCGAGAGTAATAATATCAATAGCGGACGAAGTCAAAAAAAGGTTTTAAATAATCGACTAGAAGGAAATAGAAAACGTTACTAGGAGGGAACTATGGTGACACGTGGCGCTAAATTCTCATAAGCCATATCCTCTTGATTCGCATTTTTCCGATTACAACTTCCCACCATTCCGAAAGTGCCACGAATGCATTCAAGCCGAAGGACACAACCTTCAGCATCTTCTTTGAGATAAGTTAGACGCAGCGATAATTCAGCACGGGAGTCAAGTCAGCGCTTCGCTGGGCGAGCGAGCCCTCGACTTCCCGGGTGACGCGGCCCGAATTTTCAGCGAACGATACAACCGGTATAAGAATATTATTACATAAATATATTATTAAATAAGTATAACTAATACTATAGGTATAAGTACTTCTATACGCAGATTATTGTCACCAATTTTATGTTTGCATCCTGGGAATATACAATCCGGTGAAAAATGTGCCGCCAGAGTTGGGAACAAATTCAATATTGCACGGCCAAAAGATCGAAAACCATGCGAAAAAAGTCATCCGTTAAACGCAGCGGAATAACAAGCGTCGCTGTCACTTCAATTCGCTTTCGAGTTGACGCATGCGCAAAGACTCGAAATCAATCGAATTGTGTGTGCCGAGCCGCGTGCCAAAGCCTTCTATTTCACTCGCCCCGCGCCGCTAGCCGACACCCGCCCCATGCTCACAGACGTCAGCGGCCGCCGCGTCACGCCAGCCACAACCGCGCGCGTCGCCTTCCGCAGGCGATAGGCGCGGCCGCAGTGCGGGGGCGGCGGCGGCGGAGGCGGTTTCGGACGCGAGGGCGTCGTCTCCGGCGTCCGCGCCGCCGCGAATCCGCTCGGGACGGTCGGCGTCGGGCTGAACGCCGCTGCTACCGGCCCACGCGGAGCCCGCGCTGCACGCGCCACACCCCGCCGCCCCGCACGGGCTGCACGGCGCGCCGTTCTGTTTCACAACGTGCACGGCAACGTTCTCGGACGGACGCGCGGACCGCTATTACCTAGTATAGACGTTTGGAGGTTGTTGAAACACGCCACGTTCTACGTAATTTAGTGGACATATCAGTCGACATAACGCATTCATCTCCTTGCGGCATTCGCGCTCACGGAGATCGCAGTGTGACGTTGTCAACACTGCCTAAGCCGCAACGTCAACCTGAGAGGCACGACTTATTTGGCTACCAAGAGGTTTCGCATACAGTAGTTACTTTTTGTGAGATCACTCATATGAGAAAAAATGTAGTATATAATCAAAATCTAGTTGAAGAATTATTAACCAAGAGCTTATTTTTCTTTGATATTAACTATTTTTCCTTTTGTATCAAATACTTTTTGCTTTGTTACCCCGAAGCTACGCGGATTTGGTGACAATCTTCGAACGCCAGCAAGGTACGCAGAAAGAAATCCCAAGAGGGGGATGATATTTGAGAGAGAAGGCACTACAGTGAGTCATTCGTAACACGGCCAACCTCCAACTATAACAAGCACTATACCCATCAGACTAACGACCTAAGTAGTTTTCGAGCACGTTACCAATACTCACTCACTAATTCGAATCATTTCGTGCGTAAGTAGTCCGGTACCTTTGGGAATTATCATCTACCTTTCGTAGTTTCAACTTTAGTGTAATGTTGCTACTACTGCAAAGCTACTACAGTGCGACACGAAAGTCTCTCCAAAGTGTCACCTTGCCGGTGAGAGTGCTACAACAGAAATTATGTTGGTAACATTACCTTCAATTTGCAACAAACGAAAATTTAAATAGCGTTCTCACTACAATCAGCATCTGTTTCAATAAATGCTAGAGGTGTGATTCTCAGTGACCTGGTTGCCACCAACATAAACGCAATTTTTAATTGAAGGCCCCGTATGGGCGCGGTGCGGAGAGCCCGTCTCCTGCCACTACACTACCTCTGCCGCCGGGTTCCTCGGCGCGCACTGCTGCAAGGGCCCAGCGTCGGCGTTGGGGCAGCGCGGGCGGTCGCTCGGGGCAGAGGGTGCGAGTGCCTCGTCGACGGGCAGCTGCACCCCCCACGCCCTCGCGTCCTCTCCGGGGCTCCCGGCCTTCGCCGCACATACGTCCGGACTCGTCGCGCCAAGGACGTCGGAGGACTCGCAACGGGCGCAGTCGGTGACGGGCGCGTGGTTAGGCTGCGCGCTGTCCGGCGTCGCGGGTAGGAGGAACTCGCCCGGCCCGCACGGGCTAGCGTCGTCGCGATTCGCGAGGTACGGGTCGCTCGTCAAGCGCTCCGTGTCGTCCTCTGCGCTCAACCGGTGGTTTTCGCTCGGACTGAGTTCTGTGGCGGCGTCTTCGCGCCGTTCTGCTTGCGATGCCTCTTCCGGAATCACGCCCTGGAACTTGCTCGACCCGACTGCGAGTGAGGGTTCGGCGCTGGGCCCAGCGCCTTGAGCGCTGCCCGAGTTGGCGCTCTCTGCCTGTTGGGCGGGTGGTGCTCCCGCCCTGTCGAACCTGACACTACTCTTGCGCCTCCTCGATGGGCGCCCCTCCTCTTCCTGAAGTGATGAATCATCGCTGGCTTCGTCGTCGTAATCCTGTGTGCCAAACGCGTCGTATGACCACCAATCCTCACAGATACTTTTTCAATTTTCGCATGTAAGAAACATCTTTTGCAAGTTATTCCGCAATTTTTAATTTTTTAGATTCTTGTTTGTCCTGTGTAGGTTCAACGTAATATTTTCATCTGATATGAATATAATTATTAAATATTATTTTATCCACACACCATTACTTGACTTTTGTAAACTATATTTTACTTACTTTTATCCAGAAATTTCTTTATATGAAACAACCACATGAAAATATGTAATAAAATGTATCTATAAGAACTACCATGTACATAGGATTACCGAGTAGGAAACAACGACACTTCTAAAATAAGCACCTAAGTCAATTTCAAACCTATTGGTATTTTGTGTAATAAACTCGGTTTCGACTGTTGAGCTGCAATAAGTACTCCAAAGTTGGCTTATATGACCTTCTGGGAACAAATTACAATTCAAAAACAAATTAACTGCACTTATTTTGTTCATTGGTCGAAACACAAACACGAACGTTTGTTGTAAAATAAAAATTGAACTGGGAATAAAATGACAATTTGTAAACTACTAAACTTTGTAATTATTTGCTAGCATTGCGCTCATATTGCCGTCTTTGGCGCGACAAAACTTTGCTAACGTAAATTCACAAAAGCTGTTTAAAATATATTCCTTTTCTGATACACATGTCTGTTCATAGATGTATGAAATGAGCAATACTGAAATTCTGAAATACTTTCCAGTTCTTACTTATTTCCCTAAAAACATTTGTAAGTCGCGTTTCACGGGCATCGCTGTTACCAACATGTTGTGCGCACCAAGACTCTTTAAATTACACAAATGTTAGAAAGCGAATGAACTAATGTCCGGAGATCATGCTGGTGAAATTAGAGCTCCACCACAAACTGTCCGTTTTCGTAATTACTTCAAATGAAGTTTTACACATTACAATTAAAATGTGGTGGCGCTTCAAGGTCCTGAAAGTACTAGTATATCAATAAAAAAACAGCGAGAGAGATACACTGTCTATAAGGAAAGGTAATACATGTAATGTTTTCCTGTAACTCCTGTTAAGTAAACGTTAAACGGTAAACGATCCATCAAACAAGGGTGGTCCTAGAATATGATTTCTGATAATCCTACACTAAATACTTCAGAAAAGTTCCTCTTCAAATTACCTTTCAAGTTTTGCATGCGGGTTTGAAGGAGCCCTTACCTCATAATAATTAATTATACAATTTCTCGTGAACTGTTCATCGTCTCTGAATATCTTACTACTAATATCAAGACTTTGAAGAAGCCAAGTATAAAACTGCCAATGCAATTCTCAGTCTTGAGTTGTAAAAGAAATGTAACAGTACAATCATTTGTTGTGAAGAAATTCTCACACAGTCACATGTGTCTTCCAAATCTGGATCTACTGGCTGCTCTGGAGGTCACGAGTAATGAACCAGTTTCGCACACACTGGCAGTGTTTATAAATCCACTTTTATGCTCTCTATTACGATTCGGAAATCGAATGTAATATCCATTTGCCTCTCTTTCTGAACTTCCGGAACAAATGCAGTAACCATAAATAATGCCTGAGTATTACTATTTGTTGTAAATTCTCGGCATTTTCGTATGAAATCTACGTGGCACTATCCGAAATCACACTGTTAAAGTAAGCGTATATACTTTCTGTCTGAGCAGG